TTTGAAGCCGTTCTCCTTATTTACAGGAAAACAGTAAAAAAAATTCTAAGCATTCAATATCTGATTAAGTTTTCTCTGGAGAGGTGGGATATTGCTTATGAATATTGATTTACAGGAAAAATCCTAGACATCATTCTTTACTAAATAAGATTCCAGAACACACAGTCAAAGTTAGTTAGTTATGCAAAAACAGTAAGAAGATGAGGACTCCTTCTCCCTACTATTCCCAGGCATTAAAAAATGCAAGTAGTCAGGAAAATCAACTTCATTTGAGCGTGCCAGTAGTACTGACTTAACATGCACTCTCTGCTGAGTTAGAATATCACTTCAGATCACTCCAGTTGATAACAGTTTGCATTAATACCCCTCTTCACTCTGGTATATCCAAGTATAAATTACGCTGAGGCAGCGTAAGCACAAAGTTTTAATTGCAGAAAGGCCCTGTAACTGGAATGAGTCTGCTGATGACTCAGCTGGACTTTCCCTGCCTCCTCCCCTACAAGGAAGGGTAGGAAATGTCAAAAGAATGCATTTATGCTGAAGAGAGCCAAGAGTTATCACGAAAAGCCAAGTCACACACCCACAGGTAAACAAGGCAGAATAAAACTGGTAGTGAACCGGTAACACAAAACAAAAGCCTTCTCCAAAAGAGGCTGGGCACCTTAACACGGTATTCTTCAACCCTGGCAGCGCTGTTGTAGAGTCCTACCATTTAATCTAGTATCGAAGCTATTACCATAACTGTTTGTTGTTTAAGTATTCCTATATTTGATTATGAAGAATGTAGATCACATCATGTTTATGGTACGCACTTAATGAATAGGGCTCGAAACTTCAGCCTACACAGTAGCCAGCAGCTACTGTAAACAAAAAGTTCCATAGAACAAAACGCCCAGCATAGTTTATTCTTGGCAGAAAAACCTCTTACACTCAAATACTTTCAACGATTTTTGAAAGCATTGATATTTAAGAGCAACTGTACAGTATCAGAGTCCCCCTTCCCAAAGGCCTATCTAACCTGATATCTCATCTCTGATAAGTCTGTGGAAGAGTAAAAGAACCAAATACAATATAAAGGAGATGTATCTTGAGAATGAACTCTACCACTTGTTTATGGCACAAGTCTGATGAGCCAAAACGTGGTGTCTTCACATTTATCCAACCCCGATGCATTTTTCTACACATCATCTCTGAGATCAGCATCTCAACGTGCTGTTTTGAGCTCGCCACCTGACAATTTGCTGAATACCCTTGAAGTATCCAGGAGACAAACAACCTTTTCCATGCACCCATATTGCTCACGGTTTCAAAACTGCATCTTCCCTTCTCCCCAAACCATCACTTTCTTCCCTTTAAGTACTGCTTATTTACTGAGGCCTAAGGAAGGACCCAGAGCTGCACAGCACTTGCCACGTAGGCATACCATGCACATACGCACAACACAACAGCAATCTGTGTTCTGCTCTCCACTACTTCTATAGCAATGCCTACTGCTCTGCTTCTTTGACTGTCAGAGCATATTTTCAGATAGTCATCCAACCAGGATTCTGTTCCTAAGCAGAGATCTTTGCTAGACATTCAAACTGCCCAAGCATTATGCCTTGATTTACACAGCTTACAACCAAGCAATTGATGTTCCTGTCATATTTCCAACCATTTAGCTTCATTACTGCAGGCTCCACCTCACCCCTGCACTTGGCACTCAGTTTTGAGCACATTAAAGACAGCAGCAAATTTTGCATTTGACTTTCCACTCTTTTCCACATCATTTATGAATATTTTGGAGGGCAGAAGCTCACCAGCCCAACACAGATACCCCCCACTGTGAAAACAAACAAGCTGCTCCTACCTTCTGCTTTGTACCTTGGCCAACCAACTGGTCACCACAGAACCTGTCTCCCCACCCACAGCCTTTGCTGAAGTATATTTCCAAAACAGGACTTGAAAATCAAGCACATCTACTGAATGTCCCAACACTATGGTGGTGCATATAAATACCTTTAACTCAACTGAAGCCAGGAACTCACTGCTAACAAGGTCCTAATAACCACATCTAGCTCTCAGCTATTAATCTAGCCCTGCTAAGTTGTCAATCACCAGCTGTACCTCTCAGCCAAAATAAGTAGCAGTTTTGTACACACAGAGAAATAAAGAACTCTAGAATCGACACAGCAATTCTTTTCAAGTCAAAAGCAAAAGAACTTCACTTTCCTTCCAACATATCTAAAAACAAAACAGTAATTTGGTTAACCACAAGTATTACAGCCTTCCCATGATAAGGCTAGCTTTAAATCACTGAAAAATAATTACTAAAATGGCTTCTGTTGATTTAAAAATACACAGTGATTTTCATTTCACTGCCTAAATTCATTTCGTTGATTCATTTTATACAAATAAAATCAAACCAGTCATTTAAATAACTGTTGCTCAGTGAACAGTTTTCTGCCAGCTGACATGAAGGAGAAACCACGACAGAGGCAGGATAGTTGCAGATTCTGCATTCAATCTTAAGAGCAGGCGTTTTTTTACACATCTGCATTTTTTTCCCCAGGGGGTGAGGAGGAGCTGGGCTTTCATTGACTTTAACAATTTATATTTCATCCAAACAGTTTTCCAGGGGGAAATGCCTGCCTGTCAAGTGTTTCATTACTACAGTCAGATCTCAAACTAATTACTTAATGGGAAGGTATGCTAACAATAACTTTTACCAAATGAAAACTTAACAGAAGTAGGCTAACAGAGAAGTTACTTGGCTAGCTACAACTGTTTGAATTACTGATTTTAATCAAATAACTTGAGTTATAGTGTGGTTTTCCTCTAATTATTTAGCTTCAGCACTTACCTTCAAGTTATTCATCTGCAAAACTCCGCAATAGTTTGTACAGCTCATTTAAGAGTTGAGATGCCTGTATTCTACCTCGCCAGTTAAAAGGAAACGAATGCCCCAAGAACATTTAAAACACGTTCCCATTCCACAAGCAGACGTTGGCCTCCCAAACCATCTGCTGCTGCTAAAAAGAAGTTTACTGGATGATCAGATGAAATCACAGAATTAACTCCACTGCTGAAGACCGCAGCTTTAGAGCACAGCCTTTATTACAGTCATCTTAAGTCTTTCCACATCTCCTCCATTGCTAGCTGTGAAAGATATCAGTAATGCTGGGTTTTGTCCCCCTAGTTTTACAAGTCTCATATTACCATTTCCACAATTTTCTTTCAAGTTTTTGTTTTTTTCTGCTGGATGCATCAGCTCTCTTCAGAGTAAAAACCCAAGCATCTAACCTCGTACTCCTTTTCCTGAACCCTAAGCTTTTCTCTTTTGCACACATTTCTCCACGTCCTCATGCGTCCTTTTCAAAATTTCTGCTAGTTCTCTTGGATTTTTCAATGCAGTCTTGAGCACTTATGGGCTGCTTAGCCATGAAGACAATAACACAAGAGGCACCATTAAGAACTAACCAGCCAGGAACACACCACCCTATGGCCATGCAAGAAGGGTTATTTACACTCTCCAAAGCATGCACGTGGAGGTGGGGGAGGGGAAGGGGGGGAAAGAGGAAAGGCCACCATATGTACAACATTTCACACCTATTTTACAGGAGGCAGGGGAGAGAAAGACAGCCATGAAGCTACCGTGTCCCCTTTCAAGGGCAGAGCTTCCTCCTCCTTCCAATGAAGTCTCTGTCCTTTCCCTCACCCCGAGGTAGCACTGATCTCCCTCCCAGGCCTAGATGACCCTACAGCATGCCCTGTGCTACCCCCTTGGAGAATGTGGAAGCCTCTCCCAGCTGCTGAGCTGCTCCATCCACCACTCCTCGTCAGCTGCCTCTCCACAGCACATACATCTGATTCCCAGACCCACCTCATGCTGTGTGGAGCAGCGAACAGAAGCAGCCGGCAGGCAGCAGAGGAGGGGACTGCTGAGCAGCTGCCTTCCTCACAGTCCTGGGACACTGGCTAGGACAGCTGTTTTTATGATTTATTATATATTATTTATGGCTGATTGTAACATCGTATCATTACGACTGCATTCCAACAATTGTCTCCAAATATTTATGGGCAGAGCTACTTGGCATTAATTACTGAGTGGCTTTAAAAATAATTAAACCTCTGATATCTTGGCCACCTATTCATCCAGTACCAAAACCTATAGAACGGTTGACTGATAGAGCCAGAGGCAAGCCATGGCAAACCCAAGGATCCCAAAAGGCACTTTTGCAGCTCAGTGTACTAACATGCAGTCAAACTCACTAAGCCACAGAGGGATCAAGACTTTTAAATGTTTCTAGCCTTTAAATGAAAGATAACGTGGAAGCAATATATTTTCCACCAAAAACTCGGCAGATCAAAGCCTCAGTAAAATAGAACTTCTGTCTTACTTGAGATTTTATTTAAGCCTCAGAAGATTTGATTTTAGACTATGATTCACATCTGCTGAATTCTGTTGCATAAACTGCTGCCCCTTCACTTTTCAATTGCGTTACTTTGCGATGAAATAAGTTCATCTTGAACATTTTTTTACATACATGAAAATTTTAGTTTTAACTTAAAAACAAACAAACAAAAAAGAAAGAATAACATTGAGTATTTAAAGAAAATCCTCAGTTTGACTAAAACAAACCCCTTAAAATACACACTCCTTTTTGCAAGTTGCAAATACAGAAGTTATTAGCTTAAATTAGACCTCCCACACGTGCTTCCCATTTCCCCCTCAAAAGAACCAACAAGAAATTAAAAAAGCAGTACTCAGTTTGTCCTATTGCTATATCGTATTTCAGTCTATCCATAAAGCCATCCTGTAATAATTATTGTAAAAACATCAGCAAGATACACGAACCTTATTTTACCTTTAGCTTCTGCGTACCAAGAAAGTCACATAATGAGCAAAAGAACAGTGTAGCCAAGCAAGAACAACTGCTTTGAAGCCACAGATCTCATGCATACTCAAATGCATTTACAAGCACACAAAACATTTTTTTTATTCATTGGAAGCAGCTTACCTGAAGGACAGGCACTTTCTGCGGTGTGTTTTGTGGTGACTGGTGAAGCTGTGCCCAAGGCTGATGATGAGGATGTGGCGGTGGTGAAGACTGATGATGTATCCCTGGATGAGGCTGCATGGGAGGACAGGTTGGCATTTGCTGTTGAAAAGACTGCTGCTGACTAGGAAGTTGCTGGCCAGATATTAGTCGTTCTTGTATTGCTTGTGGATCCGCAAGGCCAACGCCTGGACAACCATTTGGTCTCATGTGCCCACCCATCTCCCGTGGTGTTGAAGACATACCCATAAAAGGACGATTCTGTTGCATGTTTCGGGGGCCCATATTCCTTTGTCCAATTCCCATGGCACCAGGGGGCTGGTGTGATGGCTGAGGATGGGGTATATTTGGATAACTGCCAACTTCCATTGGTATTCCAGCACTACCGGGCCTAACCTGTGGAGGAGGCGTACCTGCTGGATTACTCATTGCTTTCATAGGTGACATGGGAGGTGGAGAGGCATAAGTTCCCTGAGGCTGTGAAGGGTGCATAGTTTGCGTGTTCATTTGGTTAAGTGAGCCACTAGGGTGGATGGGTTGCTGGTGCATTAGTCCTTGACCACTGTTTGATGGAAATCCTACAGCATTTGGGTATCTTGGTACAGACTGATTCATTGGAGTGTTATTTGTAAGGCCTAAATTCTGATTCATCCCTGTATTATTAACTAATCCCTGATTAAGGTTACTGTAAGGATATCGAGAATACTGCCCTGAGTTGTTTATAGTAGGTGAGGGTACCGTCTGGCTCCGAGAACTAAAATTAAGTGTTTGCGGCCTAACAGCACCCTGCTGGGGAGGATTAGGGGAGAATCTAGGGCTGTGGGCTACTGATTCTCCATGGAGAGCAGTGGGGGGATGGTGGTGAAATTGCTGGACTGAGTGTCGCAAAGAAGGTGCCATACTGGGATTCTGCTGGGGCACATGAGACAAGTGGCCAGGTCCTGAGGTGGCAATGAAAGGGTTTCCCTGATTGAGGCCTTCTTGGCCTTGAGAAAACTGGTTCATCCTCTGCTGTTGCGGCTGACCGTGCTGTTGCATTGAAAAATCACCACGAGCCATGTAATTTCCCATCTGCTGCATGTGCTGAGGATGGCCCTGCCCGGGGGGTCCGGAGGGTGCTTGTGGCGGCTGTGTCGGTTGCGGCTGTTGCTGCTGCTGCTGGTATGGTGCTCTTATCTGGTCTGGCACTTGAACTGCCCGCGGCCCCCACATCGAGCCACTGTCTACGAAGGGTTGCCCGTGTCTTTCGTTCTGCATGCTGGGATAGACTCCCATCTGACCACTAGCACCACTGCCATGAGGAACCTGAGGAACGGGAGGGTTGTGATACTGTGAATGAGGAGATGCTATACCATTCCCAGGGGCATTGCTTATCATCCTGTTCGGCTGATCCATCAGGTGCATTTTCTGCTGTTCGTATTGATTATAGTGATCAAAATGGGTCAACTTTGCTTGATTTTGATTTGCAGGGGGATGATGAAGAGATGACTGTAAAGAGGGAAATCCTTGATCCATGGGCATTTGCTGCCCCATAGGATTTACTGTGTTTTCAGGATATCCACATTCTCCGAGACCTTCCAGCCCTTCACTGAAAATATTCCCATCTTCTCCAAACAGACTCATCATTCCTGGATCTGCCATCTTTTTGCAGCACACAGCTCCTTGGAGCTACAACTAGAACGCTAGTCTGTGCTTCACCTCGGCGAGGTGTTTTGTCCTCAAAGCCTTTAATCCTCAACTAATCTCCTTCATGTCATTCCATATTTCCTTAATTCTTTTGGACCACGCAGTGTCAGGCAAAGTCTGGTTACTGCTCCTAGAAGCGGGGGAAGGGAGAGAAAGAAAGGAAAAATATTGAAATATAAACAACATAAATATAAGCAACATAAAGAAAATACAGTTGACTGTTTTCTGTACAATGACAGCTAGTTTCAGCCCCCAAAACACATCATAAAAATCTATTTCACTTTAAGAAGCTTGCATCGTCTTTATCAGAAGCTTTATTATGATAGGGAGTTAGGAAGCAAGCAAAACACTACCCTTAACCTTAAATTAATCCATTCACTACACTTCCTAGCGTTCCTTTCTTGGGTGGAATAGAACAAAAGAACACAACATGCAGCAGCAGCAGCTGCCACAGCAGGTAGGCAGATGCATGAATATAGCCAAGCAGCCCATCTGCCGAACTAAAGCCCTGAAAACGCTCTAGTTACCAACAGCATGTCCTTAACCTTATTCCCTTGAGCTGCGTAATCAGATGAGCAAGCAGAAGCACCGAGTCCTGCGACAGACTAAAGTTAGTCATACAGAGAACAGATTTCTCAAACACACAGAGGTGACCCTTGAAAATATACAAAACTCCAAGACCCAACTTAATGCTTAGGAGAAAAATACATATATATTTAGCTGGTTGTTTTTTGTTTTTTTTTTTTTTTTTTTTAATATATCATTTATCTTAATTTAACAGAATTACAAACTGAAAGACAACTTGACATGTCCACCCATTTCAGCAAAACTATTAAATTCTTCATTTTACGACACAGTGGATCACTGAACCCATGCCATAATTTCCTTAACACCATCACCACCCTTCATTAGGCATCTTCAAGTAATCATGAGACTAATAGCAACCACAGCAATACAGAAGACCACACTAAAGTTTTGTTCTGCCCATATTTACTATCTGTATAACTCACGAAGGAGAATTAGCTAAGGCAAAAGAAATTAAATAGTAAAACAGTATGCACTTGGACTTGGGGGTGGGGAGTGGGAAATGCTGTAACTCATGTTAACAGAACAGCTTCAGAGAATTTCCAGGTTAGTTTTTTCACAGGAAGCCTGGTGTGTGCTGAAATGCCTCCTCTTCCCCACAGCTATTCTGTCTGAGTTTGCTTTTTATGGCTCAAATGAGGCAGTCTAATACCATCTTTCCTTTCTAGAACAAGAATTTTAAATGCTATAGCTATGAAAATAAACTTGAAGCTGGTAGTCAAAGCCCAACCATACTGCAAGTAAAAATAGAAAAACTATCGTTGCATTGTTGTCATTATTTAGTAGAACCAGTACTTGCAGATATTGACTTGCCCTTAATAATCAGCAATCACACAAAAACAGGTTTACTTACATGTACATTCACATCTCACATTTTGTTGCAGAAAAGGGATGCTTTCTGTCACTTTGGATGCAAAGTGCCAAACTGGACTATTTCAACTGGAGGCAATTCGTCCCAAACAAGTTTTAGGGAGAAAATATCAGCACATTCATTACACTGCTTGCAATCATTGTCAAGATGAGCTTCTACAGCATGAAGCAGAGGGCACAAGGAAAAGCACAAGCATTTATCACTCCTCTTAAAATAGCATTTGAATGTCACCTTTAAAACTACACTCTTAAATCTCTTTAGTGCTCAGCTGGGATATTAACACTTATATTTCTAAATCACTTGAGGGTAAATTCCTACGAGCCACCTTCGTGTCTCTTAATAACTATTTCTTTTGATTTCATTTCCTTTATTAAGCAAAAGCCATCTGTAGCATTTCTCACCTCAATCAGTTCATTAAAATATAGCATAAGAAAGCTTCAACAAAGCAAGAAAGAGCTGCCTTCACTGAAGCGAGCTTTACGCATTAGACTGCTCCAGAGCAAAGCATTCGGTCATGAAAATCCCTGCAGTGATTCAGGATCACCCAAAGACTTGTGACACTGCATGCTGCAGTCAGGGGCTGGCAAAGCTGGGAGTATCACATACTGCTGGTCTCTGCCTAACGGAGCAGGCTCTTTGCTTGGAAATGCAAAGAAGCACAGGAGCAGAGCTGTCACCTCCCAGCCTCTATCTGGCAATGTCAAACTTGAGACCAGTCAAGGATCTCTCTCCCCCTCAACAACTAAGCCTGCATACATTCACAGAATTCTCAACAGGTAAGAATTTGCTCTGATTTTGTTAGGTAAGGCACTAAAATGACCACTCAAAGGTAGACATGCTGTACCCTCTTGAAACTCTAATGAAGTTTTGCAATAAAACAACCAAATTCCACAAGAATTCTCACTTTGCTATTTGTCACAGATAAGCTAACAGCATCTCCAGAAACAGTTACACAAATAAGACACACATTTGAATTTGCTTTGCTTACTGTTTGTCAGTTGACAGGCTTCCAATAAAACTCAGGCTCTAGTCAGCCACCAACAGTCAACATCAGCAAACAGTAGTTAGGGCCAGCTACTATAACCACAAAACCAAGTTAAAGTAGGGTAAGGGTTGTGTTTAAACAAACACACCTCAACTCTGCCCAGCTGACTCCAACACAGCTTGCAGATCTGCACTAAAACCTGTATGGAAGGAGATGTGTTCTAGGTTCCACAGCACATTTGCTTTCCTCAGCACAGGGTCTTTAAAAAGAAAAGCAACTTTTTATGGTGCAGTTTGTATGCAAACAAATCCATCATCTAAATTAAGAGTGAAAACACTGTTTGCCGCTATTTATGATTTCAGCTCGGCATTTTTATCTGAAGTGTGAATTGGTTTCATGCTTGTGCTGTTAATGCTAAAGCTATTAGGTTTGGAACACAGCACGAGAATGCGTTTGAGAAACTGTCTCCAAGCCATAGCAGTATTTCTTCATTTAAGTTTGGCTTTAGATTTACAGCTGCAGTCCTTTACAGTCAGCTGTGCTCTCACCAAACCTTATTCTACTTCCCCAAATAAAAAAGTCACCCCTCTGATGTGATATACGACTAACAGTGCGTGTTTAAGAATGAACAATAGTAGCAGCTATGGTCTGATCAAAACAAGTTAACCACCTTTTGATAATAAAACAGTCGATGCTAGAATTTCCTAGTAAGCTCTCAACCTTTTATGTTAACAGGATAGATGCCTTCTAGATAGTTAAGCAAGTCACAAGAGTCACAGCCTTATCATAAGTTACGATCATTTCTTCTCTTTTTCCACTGTAAGCAATGTTATTTTCCTGCTTAAATCCTCCAGGCTCAAAAATAAAAAAGCAACCACATCAGCAGATGTACACAAAGGTAAGTCTTCTACCAAGGTATAATTCTAGCTAACATGTTCCCTAGGAAAATCTTTAAGAGGAAGTTTTTCACTCAGAGGGTGGTGACACTCAGAGGATGGTTTACTCTGCTCTTGCGAGGCCCCATCTGGAATACTGCGTCCAAGTGTGGAGCCCCCAGTACAAAAAAGGCAGGGAGCTGTTGGAGACGGTCCAGAGAGAGCCATGAAGATGATCAGGGAACTGGATCACCTCCTCTATGAGGATGGGCTGAGGGAGCTGGGCTTGTTCAGCCTGGAGAAAAGAAGGCTGCGGGGTGATCTCATTGCAGCATTTCAGTACCTAAAGGGAGCCTACAAACAAGAGGGGAATCAAGTTGAGGGAGGGGAGATTTAGCTAGATATCAGGGGGAAGTTCTTTACCATGAAAGTGGTGAGGTGCTGGAACAGGCTGCCCAGAGAGGCTGTGGATGCCCCATCCCTGGAAGTGTTCAAGGCCAGACTGGATGGGGCCCTGTGCAGCCTGGTCTAGCATTAAATGAGGAGGTTGGTGGCCCTGCATGTGGCAGGGGGGTTGGAGATTCATGATCCTTGAGGTCCCTTTCCAACCCTGGCCATTCTGTGATTCTGTGACGCACTGGAACAGGCTGCCCAAGGAGGTTGTGGATGCCCCATCCTTGGGGCATTCAAGGCCAGGCTGGATGTGGCTCTGGGCAGCCTGGTCTGGTGGTTGGTGATCCTGCACGTAGCAGGGGGGTTGAAACTAGATGATCTTTGAGGTCCTTTTCCACTCAGGCCACTCTATGATTCTAAGCAGTACAGCTCACTTTCCTATGAAAGTAAGTATGCTAACATCAAGACTGGATTGAGACTGACAATCACATAAGCTCAGCCCAAAAATGGTGGGGGGTTTTTTGTTTGTTTGGTGGGTTTTGTTGTTGCTACATAGTTTAAAAATATAGATTTATGCATCATCTTCTCAACTATCCTGTAAGTTAAAATCAACAGAAATTCACAAAGCAACGTCTATTTTCCAGGTACAAAGAAAAGACCATCTGAATCAAGTATACTGCTGAATATGAATGTATAACACAATATTAAAAAAGAAAATCTTAACCACATTTTGCTATGAAATTCTATAGCTTTTCTGTTCCTGAACATGAGAGTTTGCATCAACCCGACTGAACTCAGAGTCAATGAATATATTTCCTTAACGCTGCCCAGACAACCTACTCCTATTCAAAGTGATTGTATGATCCCAAACACCAGGACACAGCCGATTGCTTAACAACCCTGTTGTCTCAGCAGACAAAGCTTACATTTACTCTAGTCCACAGCATTCCAAGTCCTAAACACCCAGACTTTGCATTTAAGTCATAGTTAACCATTGCTTGACTTCGTATTTCAGAGCCCTGCAGCCTTAGGCAGCTTCTCACTTTTACGAGTGGAACAAAACTGGCTGCTGCATAATCATAACCTGATCTAGTGCTGAGGACACTAAAACCTGAATTTCATTAGCCTTGTTCCCAAGGCAGAAAGCAGCAGGTCCCAGCTCTCAAGAACAGGAAGCGACAAGGGCAGCATACAGACATGCCTGCCTTCCACAACGCCATCTGCACATTCTGTTCAGGCTACTTGTAAACGGGCAGGTCCCTCTACATCCTCCTATACAAGAGATTTAGCACCATTTCTTGATAGTCAAAAAGCAAGTAATCAGGATAAACAGAATGTGTAAAGGCAGCTAATACTCACTGCTCGGAGTTCTTCTTCCAAGTGAGACATGTCATACACTGCTAATACATTTACAGCTATCA